AAACAATGAAAACAATAGTGTGACGTATACTGTGTCTTCTACACTAAGTAAGAGCCGAAGTTGTGGCAACCGGTTTACTTGGGTAGTCACGTAGTATTTAATGGCGTGACGAGTGAGTCTTTCGGGGTCTGGATGTAAAGAACGGGAAGTTTTCTGGGGCCTGGGTGCTAGGAAGCGGGGAGTTTGAAATTTTGCTGCTTGACTTTGCGAAGTACTCGCATCCGTTAAATACGATTTGTCAAGCAAGAGAGCTCGCGATCAATCATGGCTACGCAGAACTGTGCTAATACTAGCGGAGTATTGTGGGAGCGAGCCAAGCAACTACTGAAAAGGGATGATTATGAACGACTTAAAACTGCGATAAAAACGTTCTCTAAGACACGATCGGTGGAAGGACTGTGTTCGGATCTCTTCAAGATTGTCAATTCCCGCTCGAAGGTTGATATTCTTGTAGAAGTCAGGCGATGTCTTCCAGAGAATCTGAGGAATAGCTTTACCCGACATTGCAATGAGATACTTGAAGCCGATGTCAAACGAGAAGGAGACGATTTAAGAAAAAAGAGGAAAGTAGAAGTGAAGGGAGGAGAAAACACTGCACCAAATTTCCAAGGAAGCCCAGCTAAGAAGACCAAGCCAGAAAAGGAAAAGTCACGGAGAACCGGAGCAGTGAAAAGGATTTCACAAGAGCCTGTTTGCTCAAAAGAATCTGCTAGCTTGGGTAATGAAGCTCAAAAGGCTGTCTTACTCGATTCTGTTGACTCTGACAAAAAAAGCAAAATCGTCGTTCTTGAAAGGAAATCCTCGAGTCAGGGATTTGGTTTCAAGATTCAAGGTGGAACTTGTCATCACCCTTCAATAACCGTGGCTCAAGTGAGAAAACATTCACTCGCTGACAGGCACGGATTGAAAACAGGCGATAAGATTATTCGAGTTAATAACCAGCGTTGTGGAAGAAGAAATCTTGTGGACGTAGCCCAAGTGATTGCAAATTTAATCAAGGCATCGAAGACACTTCATATGACGATCATTTCTGCTGAGGATGTCCCCGAAAAAGAAAGCAAAATTCGCGACAAAGCTGAAACAGCTGTTAGAGTAGAGGAGAAAAGATTCTCAACAATTTCAGTTCATTCCAATGAAGATGGTTGGTTAGGCTGTTGTATAAGGGGGTAGGTATTCGATGTGGTTCTCAAAATGATAAGGATAACGGTGATGACCAAGCTTAATTTGCCTAGATGTGCAAACTGAAACATGAGATCTTGAACCTTTTGTATCCTAACCCACTTTATTTCTTATCCAATTTGGAGTTAATAAGCACATTTAAAATTTTCAAACACAACAACATTGTTGGGTGAGTACAATTTGTAGTCTTGAAAAATGTACAAGTGCTTATTAACACCAAAATTGGATAAGAAATCATGACTTATTAATAATTTACTTGAAAAAAGAATATCACAGAAAATTGAGACAGACACAATTTTGATAGTGTGTGTATGCTATTTTTTAGTTTGCACTTGTGTCATAACTTTGTGTTACATGACAAATGCACTAGTTTTCAGCTAATCAGATGCATAAAATTTTGTCATGTATATTATTACTGTGATAAATTTTACAAAATTCCCAGATGATCCTCACATAAATTTTCTATGATGGGAATCAGAATAATTTCCATGAGTGAGGCATTGTGTCACAGTTTTACCTAGACTGAGTTGAAAAAATATTCATTTGATAGGCCTTTCCCAACAATCAGGATCTTTTCTTAAAGCACACACTGTCCATACCAGAATGATCACAATGCATATAGCAAATGGTAAAACTATAGGTTACTGTACTGTGCACATGTGAGTTTTGGTCCCAATGCATGTGGTGCATGTGGCTTAAAATGGCTGACAGTCTATATACATGAGATCACATTGAGTTCTGCCTTACTCTGCAGAATGATCTCACATTTTCTTAAATAACTAATAAAGCTTTTTTTTTGTTTCTTAGTGGCACTGATTATGGTTGTGATGTGCATGTTATCTCTGTTGATAACCATTCTCCCGCACAGAGGGCTGGGTTAAAGACAGGAGATGTGATAACTAAGGTGAGCATTTTTATAAATTACTTTTTAACTGCCAACTCTATCCCAGGAACTGAACCAGAGTGAGATTATATTTTATAATAATTGTCCCTCCTAGCTGCTGTTTATGTCCTTCCAGATTAAGTATGAGAAAATTGGATATTAAATCATTACAATACCTCTATCAGAGTATGTAACAAATTCCATCACATGTTGATGGATAATGTATTTGATACTGCAAGAGGAAGCTTCTCATAAATCACTTTTGAAAGATTACCAGTTGAAAGTCTTAGATTCCTGATTGTGTTACAGCTGGAAAAAACTTACCAGTGGTTATTGTGAAAAGCAAATTTTGAATCTGCATGTTGATCAGAATTTATTGTTTGTTTATCCTAGGTGAATGGAATCAGGACAAGGGACTTAACGCATGTTCAAGTGGTAAGACTTGTTATTTTGTCAGGTCCTTGTGTCAAATTTTCTGTGATGTCAGAAAGTAAACCAAGGAAGAGGTTAAGGCCAGAGATGGTCAGAGAGGAAGCTACCCCACTGCAAACCCAGTATCATGGATCCCATAACATGACTTCCCCAGGAAGCCCAACCTCCAGAGGGCTTCACCCTCCAGGTTATCAACAGAATCTCTGTGATGCAGTAATTGACTCTCCTTCACAACTTCCTATGGGTGTAATGAATCTAAATTGTATGCCACCTCCTCCCTACACCCCTGAGGTACCATTGAGACACAGGGTGTTAGCAAGGGGAGAGGAGGGAAACAAAGAAATTGATGGACAGGCACAACAGTGTATTGATTTCATACAAGAACCACAGATTACCCAGGACCAACAGGTACCCCTGGATATTCAACATCAACAAGAACCATTAGGAGTGCTTCAGCAACAAATACAAAATGCCTCTACCCAACAAGAGGAAGTGATTGACACCAATGAATCAAGCTTTAATGGAAACAAAGAAACTGTACCTCAAGAGAGTGGGATTATGGAAAATGATGATGCACCTGCACAAATTTTTATTCTGGAAGAATTTGATGTGCCATCAATGGAGAGAGAAGCTTTGATCAATGACTCTCAAGGAGAAATGTCAACAAGATTGGTGCCTCCCCCGCCACTGCCACCACCACTTGAGAGTGATGACGGCTCTCCTTCTGCCAGCCCATCCTCAGTCCCAGGTAGTGGAAGAGAATCCTTTCTCAGCCAGATAAGACAATTTGACAAAACAAGTTTGAAGAAACCGGATGTGAATCCTGAGGTTACTAATTGTAATCAGCTTCAAAGGATTTCCTTTAAAAGTAATCCTGGACTAGATGACATGAGGCAGATGACAAAGGAAAAAAAGAACAGTCCACAGGGTAATGGTGCTCTAGAGAAAGGAGACTCCATGGACTTACTATCTGCTCTTCGTCAAGCAATGAAACACAGAGCCAAAGTACTGCATGATACCTTAATGGATGAAGGCAATGAAAGTGATGATGATGATAATGACAACCTTGACAACACCAACAACGATAATGGTAGTGAAAATGAGTGGGAACTGTGAATTTAATTTTTATTTCTTATTTTTGCACAGTGTGTACATTTGCAGCAAAATCATCTCGGATGTTGTATGCTTGCAAAATCACTATGCTTTGAGAAGAAGAAAATAACACACCATGTAACAAGTGATAATTTAATGTTCAGTGATTCAATGTATGATCTTTTGAAACAAGAGATCTACACTGTGCCTCTTTTAAAATCATTCTAAATGTCAATTGGTAACCAAATGAATATAAATGCTCATGCCATCATTATAATAGCACACCTCTCTAAAAAATACAAAAATTTCAGTAGTAATACAGTGAATATCTCTATATATATTTTAACCCAATGTACATTTTGATGACTAATAACATTTAGTAATTACAACTAAATAACTTACTAAGTAGATCCCAGTGGTAAGAAGGGTGATTAGTGTTATCCACTGGAGTATATATCTATTTGGTGTACAATGCAGTTACCTTTTGCTAACACTCAGTGTATCTGCTGTATAGCAAATTATCTGTTCTCAATATACATTTTTATGACCTGTAACAGGTATTAGTAATACATTTAGTAACATTAAATTATTAAGCAGGTCCCAGTTGTCAGAAGGGTGATAAATGTTATCCATTGGATAAATCTCTCTCCAGTGTTCAGTGCAATGCTAACACTCACTGTATCTGCTGTGTAGCAAATTATCTGTTCAATAGCCTTATTCTGACCTTTCCAACAGCTGGGCCCACATGTGTTTGATACAGGGTTAACAGCTATGCTTAATTTCTCTACTTACAAATGACTTTCATGTACATGTTCAATAGTTTTCACTGTATTTTACTTTGAAAATAATGAAACTGTGCTTACCAAAAATGTGATTGGAATGATTGTGTTATTTTGTTTCAAAGAAATAACCAATTTGGATCAGGCATCCGAGTGCTAAGCTGATAAAAACAGCAGTAATTGATTAATATTCTTCCACATGAAAGTACCTTGATGTCTAAAAATAAACATGAAATATATCCAGACACGCGATTATATATAGTGCCAATAATAATTTCTCAAAATAGAAATGTAATGTATTTTGTACTTTTTAATTTGCATGGGTTTTTTTTTTCTTTCTTTCTTTTTTTTTTCTTTTTTTTTCAGTCTATGCATCCAAACGAACAACTTAACCCCTTTTTTGGGATAGTTTGGAGTACAATTTGGGCAGTAAAGCTATTAACAATAATGAACATGCATATTCAGACATGTGTTAAAAATAATTAAACATGACTTGGTTGCCAATGAAGGAGATTCTCATTCATTCTTTTTTTCTTTGAGTTTTGCATTTTTTTTTTTTTTATGTTAGTCTGTTTCATGATTTATTTGATCTTTCAAATCCATGTCTTTACTTAACCCTTTAACTCCCAGATCATGTTTGTAATTCTTCTTACTGTCAACCATACCATTCTTATACCGATAGTTCAGAGAATTT